TCCTTACCATCTTCAAACTACAAATAATCTGGCCTGTGTTTTATAACTTTTAGCATTAGTTATCTTTATAGCAGTGTGATATACAGAAGTTTTAACGTGGGACTAGTAGAAACAGTGTATTCTAACAAGGAGCTTAAAATAAAACAATATCCATACACGCCACAAACTAAAGAGAACCTAACATCAAATTAGGAGGGACGGAAGCATTGATGACCAGAAAACATGATGGTGGGTAGATAAAATCAACCCACTCAGGTCTGTAGGGAAGAACATTTTGTTTAATCACGACTCCTTATGATCAGGTGGGATGTTACAAACAAATGGTATTAATGCTAATGTATTATGCGAAATACTTCTTTAAGTCATGTTTGTGACGGCGAATTGGTTTCACTTCCTAACGAGTGGTCCTATGACAAGCGAAACTAGACAATTTGCCGAAAAACGAGGCCTGCTCATGATCCTATAAAATCAATAAAATAAAAATGAGCTGAAATAGCTTTAACAAAAAGGGAGATAGTCATTTGTGTACCAGAATACTGTTTTCAGTACTCAATTTCAATATCCATGAACATTATCTGGTTTGATTTAAAACAACTAGTTCCTTTGATAAATTTCGGTAATGTAATGAGAAGACGAAGTTTATCAGAATTGTGATATACTTGCTCAATGCATTTAGAAAAGTCTGATCACACATATACTTCTTAAAACATTATAGAAATTGTCTGCTTCGCTTCTCATCTCTTTTTCTTACCCTCCTCTTCAGCCCTCTTGAGACATGCCACCAAAAACGCATATGGAAGGGGTAACTTCGTCCTGCGCCATAATTGTTCCCTCAGATGTTACGGAGGGATATAAGGTCATGGTTTATAAAAGCGCACTTGTAGTAACATTGGACAATAGCCACACAATCCACAAAGCTGTGAACACGAGACTACTCAGAAAATAGATATTCAATATTTAACTCGGGGAAATACCTAACAATGGAGAAGGCGCGGAGAATGAGTTGAATGAATTGGAGTTGATCGGATGGCATGGCTCGACCATGCAGGCGTGGTCCATCTGAATGTTACCTTATATCTTCTATTCATATTAAATATATTGTCCTTTCTCTAGCCTAACCTTGTTGTACATCATGTATTGGTAATTGATACGATACAGTGAGTTGGTGTAGTCGATGGTCTGACTTCCACGTAAGATCTTATAGATTAGGCAGTTATATCACAACAAATCTACAAATTTAGGATTAGGTCTATTGTTAGAGCAGTACTAATATCATAGTAGACCATAATTCTACACACTAACGGTCATATCAAAAATATGAATCTTACCAATATTATTTACATTCATATGTGAGAAGTGTTATCCTTCATAATTTTATGACCAATTTGCCTAACAAAATATCAAACTAACTGAGGAACCCACCACTGTGAAGACTGTATCTTCTGTAACACTATGATTTCGCCTGTAAACTGTCATGTTTCATGTAACGAACTGTTGTTTGAGAATTACTACTATGTAACTTATTCCTTTTCATATAAAATATATCATTCTATCCCCAACTCATAAGTGTTCTTCAAACTGTCAAATATCATACTGCTAATTATCAGTATAGGAAAATTCAGAAAGGACAGTGATATGACTTTCATATAAGATCTCATAGATCTGATGGTCACGTCATGACAGATCTAGGACATTTGGATTAGGTTTATAATTGCGGTAGCCAAGATAATTGCAATGATACTGACCTAGACCATAAAATTACAAACTCTCTCAGTGTTCTCATAAATTCTATATTTTGAAAAACAAAAAAATGGGGACATACCAGATGTAAATTTAATCAATAAGTAATTTGAAAATTCCAAGACAGATTCGGTTGAAGAGTGATTGTCGGCGGCCTGTGCTTCATTGAGAGTAACAGGTGTAAGTAAAATAAAGTAATTTAAAAATTGTGATCAATTCAACTTTCATTTGTAGTGACTCACATTTATCACGAGAACACGACTCGTTTAATAAAAACAATTATTGTTATAACCAACTGTACCAGTGTTTGTTTTAATGTGCTTTTGTTTGACTGTGCTAATGACAGCTATATTGTGCTTCCATTCATATACACACACTTTGATTGTGACTTCGCGCGAATTCGGCACGGACTGGCGGGTAAGCCACGGATTTTCGCGCACACGTTACATATTGTCGTGGATTTTTTGTGTCGTTATTTATCAGCTATTAACAGGCTTTTTTGCATGACACATCAATTTCTGTATTGCTAGTGCTTGTAACATAGTTTTTATTCCAATTTATTGGCAGTTTGACGTATTTCTTGCTCACCACGTAAGTAAATCTGAAGTTAGCTTAATATAGTTATTTGTAACAATACAAACTCAAGCAAGTAAAGTTCACCGTGTTTCTAGTCAAAAAATACATCACAGATTGAGTTTTCATGTAAATGAACCGTAAAATCTTTTACATATGGTTCACCTCCTTGATTGCGGTGACGGTGAACATGGATGTCGGTAGTTGTTTATAAAATGTAAGTAGAAGCAATCAAGCGTTAACCTAATTGTGAATATTATATAACTTGTTTGTATTTAGCCATAAAAAGTTATATCCATTAGAGGTGCCATTGTTTTGTACTGAAGTGACATAATTATGTAACGTATCTGAGAAAAAAATATGTGAGTAACAATTGACGTTTATAGTGTTGTCCAGCGGCTTTCTGAACGTCTGCAGTAATAGTTTGTAACACCACATCAAGTAGGAACAAAATCTTCATGAGTAAAACGATCGGTGTTTCTTGTGAGAATGGTGACACAACCATTTTTTTTAGTTAATACTGATTTGTGACGTGTCTGTTATAGGGTTCACAAATGAGTTATTATATACTCTTCACTCCATCTCGGTAATACGGTTGTTGTGTTACTCAGGAAGTTATGAATGAATGTCACTACTTGTTAATAAAAGACTTATAGGCACAGTCTGTTACTTGCTATTTGAATAACTTATTGAATATGATACTGAGAACAAAGTTTAATTGTTTGTCTCAAAACGGATTTGTTGTTTTTCAGAATAGTATGAAGCTTATGGAATTTAGGATTACGGAAGATCGTGTGGAAAACCGGTTTACAAGTTTACGATAACTGTTTTATATTGCCTACTGCTATGCTCATTCATCTAATGAATTATTTAAATATAAATATAACAACCATACGCAGTGTTTTATATTATAAATCCTGTAAGTTTGTATAATTATGGTCTAAATAAAGCCAAAACAAATATTGACGCAGAATCATGTGACTGCATTACATTTCGTGGTTTCTCATAAGTTGCATACAACTGAATATACATTATAATTTAAGATTGAGGGAAGAAATAGTATGAAAGATAATAGAAAGCAAAGAGATGGTGGAGAAGATTTGTAGCTCAGGTGGATGATTTTGGTGGAGTTTTGTTCTCTGAGCTGGATGGTTTGGTCGACCAAACCATCCAGCTCAGAGAACAAAACTCCACCAGAAAGCAAAGAATTGGAATGACCTAGGTTATCAATAATAAGTATACATATGTATATGCTTGAACAGGTCAAAGGTCATTTGGTGTTAGACTTAAGGGAACATAAAGGATGGGTGGTGTAATAGTCGAGTGAAGCTCAGAAGCATATAAGATAAATTGTGTGATAATTCTAGATGTAATGAATAAATCAGTGAATTAAGAACTAATAAGATAAGTGAAGACAATCTGAAGAGTTAACATAATTTAGCAAAGAAGTGTGAGTGGAAGGCTGGTCTAAGGATTACGTAATCCATCTTATCAAGGAACTAGCTGCATGAAATTGTCTAGTTCCATAGTAATACTAACTTGATAATGGACGCAATCTGACAACGGAAAATATGTAAGGCGGTTGTTTAATCTGTATGGTTTTACGTGGAAGTCGCTTTATTGTTTTATTTGACTCGTTAATTCCTCACAATGAACAACGATATAACGCTAAGTTCTAACGACAGTTCGTAACTAATACAGTAGTACAAATTCTTAATTTTCACACACAATTATTCGTTAAAGCGATTGGTAAACCTCCCCATGAAAGTATGAAGAAGACGAAAATAAAAAATGAGAAAAAGTTTATTGATTTTTCATGACTACTAAAGTGGAAAGATAAGTTTACAAGTTGTATAAATAGTGGTCTAAAATAAAGCCACAAAGAACTGTTAATCGTAAACCTGCTGTCTAGCTGTTTATAATTCTTAAGTAAAAATTGTAGACTTTTCTCTCCACCTGATTCGCGAAGCGCTCACCATATTTCTCGACAATTTGTTGTTTGCACATTCTTTGGAGCCGTTGAAGCTGTATATATTCTTTACTCCGTCTCGGTAATGAAATTCCTGTGTTGTTTTGTAAATTGTGCGTATTGTCTAATTTCCATCTGCAGCAACACCTAAGAAGTTGATGAGCTATGCAGTTTATATTTTATAATTTAAATAGCTTACCTGTTAGATTTCGTCTTTTAATATATGCCAGCAGGAGATGGCGGCACGGATATCGACACATATTAAACGTGCTACAATTGCATTCACAAATACTTACATCCACTTCGTAATGTTGTTCGCGGTCAAGCATAAACAACCACTCGCCGCTTTCATATTTTAAGTTAACGAAACGCATTTTTTTAAGTTCGTATAACACTTTGGATCTTGCGAATGGGGTCAACATGTTCAGCAAGGGTATAAGACGCTGTGGAGCATCATAATTGTATGTTCGTCCACTGATTATTTGGTCTTCAATGCTTTTTCTAGAGAATGTCATTGAACTCCACTTAAAAGCCTTGTACATGCATTTGTGCAAGCTGTCGCTTTTGCGTACATATCTTTTTATCTGCCTATTTAATGACTCAACACGATTATTCGTGTTGTTACCCAAAGTTAATACACTGCCGTAAAAGGCACGCGCCCATAATGAATATCTACATAGTAGAACAAAACGAAAATCATATTCACTTTTTATTATTGGTTTTATAAGTAGAATCAATACACACGACTTCGGGATATTGATTGTACAGCCGTATCTGATCATAACTGCTGAAGCATATCGCCGTAATACATCCATTTTCTGCATGCTCTCTAACTTCACCGTTTTGTCGCATCATCTGCAATACCTGCTTCCGAGTCCAACCTGAAATATATTTATATACACTTACCAGTGGAGAGTTCAGCTTTCATATTTTTGACATCAGCAGCGGTCACCTGCTTACCTGTTCTTTCCTTAATACTTTCGATAACTTCGTCCGTCGACTGACAGTGCAATATAACTGGTTTCAAGTTTTCTTTTTCTTCTGATGACAATCGTCTACTCAACGGATCACAAACCATCCACGAACTAGTACACGGATGGTTGTGAGACATGTTGTAAGATTTTATAACGTATTGCTGACCCTCCAATCTTACGCGAAACATCGATTGGCAATTTAAAAATTTAGACCTTAAATGTAACACATTAGTTAGAGTCCTCACGGTTTTTTATTCACATTCAGACCTTCTGATTTACGTTTACGACCAAACGTGCAACGAAACACTACGAACAAGTATTTATATCTCACATCCTTCAACAATCTACTTTCTGCGTGAACGTAGAGTGTATGGGTCATCTGAGAAAACATAGATTTATCCTATCATACTCTATGGAAATCCTTTAGCGCATTATCTAATTCAATCCAGCTTCCGAATCTCTTGTTCAGCATAATACGTTGGAACGCGTCGCTTACGTTCACTGAAATTTCACTTGAGCATGAAGCACTAGAGACAACATACAATAGTTATTAAAAAAAGGTTATTCCTTGAAAAAAATTAACTGAAGGAAGAACAACAAATATTTAGGACTTACCCTTCAGTTGGTATTTCATCTTAACTCACAAAAACTAGGCGCATCTATAACCTTTTACGTTATTTTATCTTTCTTACGTTGTTTTCTGGACCTTATCAACAAATTATATATAGCTGTTGACTTTCACTACAGCACTTAGGACCACAGATCAAGTTTCGAAGGAACAACAGAGCTAAAGTGTGCACTACAAAACAGAAAATACTCAGTTAATGCTCTTAGCAGTTATTTAGTGTTTATTATGCATCAAAAGATGACTTATATATGGAAACATTTAATACTCATAGGACCCAACACACACACGGCAATTGAAATACGGAATGCCCGCTTCCAGTCAGCGCGTTCAAGGTCGTTGAAACGAAACGGCGGACAGATTTGAAAGGGATTAACGTTTTTACCTTGCCCGCGAATTCGGTTACATTCTGTAACCAAGCTTGTATCCTGGCACGATCTCGGTATCCTTTCGATACCACGAGATCGCCAGCAAATATATCTCGACTTGGTCCATTAACTGCCTTCTGATATTTGGCTTCTCGGGGATTTTATGGATTGATTTGGTTACGTTCAACCTTCGCCTTCTGATTCACTTGGCACGTGTTTCTCTGTAGCGGTGTTCATAGTTAATCTCAACTCGACGCCACGCTACAGATTCATGCACTGACCAAGCAGCTCCGAGACTCTGTTTAAAAACTAAGAGAAGATGAAACCTTGATCATAAGTAAACCAGATAAATGAGGTATAGTTCTTATGAACAAAAGGGATTATATCAAAAAATGGAAGCAATGCTTAGTGATCCTTGCAAATTTCAAAAAGTTACTAGTATATATGACATCAATAATAAAGTAGAAAAACAATCGGCTAATTCCCTTAAGGATCTAAAGAAAAAGGGAATAATTAAGGCTGAGATTCATTATTCAGATAAGCCGACTGGTTCATATGCACCACAACTGTTCTGACTCTCTAAAGTTCATAAACCGGGCCTTCCTCTACGCTCAGTTTTAGATATGTACAACTCTCCTATCCACATGCTGAATGTCCATTTTGTCTTTAACAATACTTATTACAGACAAATAGACGGGATAGCCATGGGCTCACCTCTAGGCCCGATTTTAGCTGATCTCTTTCTACAAAGCTAGAAAATGGACCACTTGATGAGACTATTGGGAAGCTTGATTTATATTGCCGCTATATCGACAACACTTTCATTATCGTAGATCAAAACATTAATAAGTAAGAACTCCTAGAACAATTCAACAGTGTACACACTGCGATCAGTTTCACTGGTGAGAGCGAGTATGACAAAAAGCTGAACTTCCTTGACGTCACACTAACCGGACGAAGTGATGGCTCGTTAAGTAGAGGCGTGTATAGAAAAAGTCCATCTGCCTGCCAATTTACTCACTTCTATAGTTTTAAACCTATCTGCTACAAGAAAAATCTGTTTAGATGTCTCACTAACAGAGCTAAAAAGATCTGTACAGTGGATACTTTAATTCAGTAGCAGGAATTTATCAACAACTCATTGTCCGAGGTCGGCTTCCTCAACGCGTTCATTAAGAAGTAAATGCATAGCATAAAAAAGAAGTCTCCCAGGCCGCCTGAGTACAGAATGGGCCAACTACTTTTCATGTTTTCGTTGAGCTTCCTGGACTGTATTTATAAACTTATTTCTTACTGATATGTAGCGTTCCGTCGTACCGAATGGCCAAGACTGATGGGGGTGTCCCAATATTTTTCCTTTTGTCTTGGTAAACGTCGAATATCCTGGTGTATCCAGGGATGGCCGTGCTTCTCCTTCTTCAGGAATGTCCGGGATATAAAAGATTTGGTTGCAACAAATACGAAATTACTCCCCTTTTTAAAACAATCATAGGCTTTGTTGATATACTAGACTCTTCACAAGCAGAAAAATGTGTTGTGTAACTTAGGAGGCACAGTATGTTAGGCAACCACTTATTCATTATACCCGCCAAGGTCACTGTGCTCGCGCGGGCGCTTTGCTTGCTAACGGAAAATGTTAAGAAGACAGTCTTACGTTAGTGCCTGGCTGAGTGAGTAGAAGCCCTAACATTAATAGCCCTTTTACTACAAATGAAAATCTACAATGTCTTCCAAAACGTTCTTAATCAGACGTGTTCAAAAGTAGTGTAAATTGTCTGTATCTTGCAATACCAACTATTTATGTGCATTCTAGGTCAAAATAAACCTGACTATTCGTCTTACACGACACCAAAAAAGCCCCGAAATAATTACATTCATTTGTTTTTATCATTGTTTATGAATTCAACATGTGTGTATCCCCAAAACATTCAAGAGAAATGTTTTCCATGTCCTGAATAACTATGCATATGGTTGCTTAAATCTAAGCATGATTTCCATACTGGTGAGAGTTTACTTTATAAAAATGCTGAGACATAAAGGAAGTAGGTACTTGAACCTCAACAGATGAGTTTAAACCTCATAGACAAGTAAGGTATGACTAGAGCCAACTATCAGGTTTATGTACTTCTGAATTCCCAGCGCAACTTTTTTACTACGTCTATTTCCACTGTGTGTATTCATATTTGAGTGACCAACAGAACCTAGCATTCAGTAACGCCGCTAGTCTTTTAAGACCACATCAGTTCGTCATCTATGATTTTAATCCTTTTATATGTGTTTTTATGTGATGAACACAATATATATTCATCTATAGGAGTAATTAAAGCATAAGTTTAAACAAGGGGCGTATAATTAAATTCAATACGAGCCAGCTTCGGTCGATGGATGACGACGGATTGCATTGTCAGTTCCGAAATAATCCATCTACTTTATTTGGGTTCCCATAGTGCGTCGATGTGTCTACATAGTTCGTGACAAAGGATACCTTACTGAAATAAAGAGCATAACAATTACAGCTCAAATAGAAAACGAATGTGAAAGATGACTTGTATGACAACTGGTAGTACAAGAAAGATGTATGGATGAAACAGCTCAATATCAGGTTCTATCACCCAGATTTAACGACAAGACTATACCAAACCCCTTGTCCTATCCCCAAAACTTTTAAACTTACCCTAATACTCCCAACCTTAGCATTCCTTACCCAACACAATGGCTCTAACACTTCATTTCATTTTATAAGGGAAGTGTCATCCAATTTTTTTTTGAAGTACAAAATATTAAAATCATGGGTTTTTGCAACAAGTCATCCAGAACGGCGTTTTAAATTCCGTCATCGGTTAGCCTAGTTTTGACTGGGTACTCAAAGTCATTGATATAGTATAGTCTTGCCGTTTCGACTGTAGATTATGGCCATTCTGCATGCAAACCTATGGGCATGGCTCAGACTAACAGTAAGTGACCTGACGAACTGATCCCACTTCTTGGTTTGACCACTCTTGGTTTTATTATAATCTTTCACAGGCTGTTGTTGGGCGTCAAGGTAGTTAGTAATAATATATGTAATACATCTAATATCTAGTCACCTTTGTCCATAAAGGTGTATACTCTCATCGACTGACTTACCGTTTACCGTTGGAAACCTTACGTTTAACAGCAGTTTTCACTTCGTATATTATATATATCATAGACTCGCTTCTCTTTTTTTACATATCCATATTTGATTTCCAAAGCTATCCTTAGACAAGCATCTTCGTTTCGACATCTCCCTCTCAAAGAAGTGGTCGCTGGAGTGTCTGGAACCACATCGAGTACAAACACCTCTAAAAGTCCAACAAATGCACCCCCACCTCCTCCAGTCCAACCTACTTCTCAACAAATTGAAGTTTTGGTAGATGGCAAACCAGTCACATGTGAACCTGGTATGACTATTTTACAGGCATGCGCTTTAGCTGGTGTACAGATACCTCGGTATGTAAATATAAGGTTTTTACTGATTCCCTGTTATTCATAATATATTATTATTATTATTAATGACTCTATTCAATATTATATTTTGGTACAATATAGAATTCCCGGCATAACTGGTAAAACAGTTCTATGCATTCTTAAAAGCTCATCTGTTGTGTTCGATCCCTTATCGTTTACATTTATATACATAAATATCTTCATATCCGTTGTTGTCCATTCCGACTTTGGTGTTTAGGTCTCCCTGATCACTCCTCAACGATCGACTGCAACTTCTTATAAAACTGATCTTTATCTTCGCCATTACTATCATTAGTGAGCACATAACGGTGGATATCACTTATTGTAATCCCCTTCATGTTTGCTTTGAAGGATGCTTTGATGATTCTGAATGCATGAGATTCCCATCCTTTTCGGGCTTCTTTAGACAGCATCAGAGCAACTCCCTAGGTGTGCGGGGCGTTTTCTTCTTCATGACCAGAGTACATCAGCAACTCTCTCGAATCCAGCCTTTTCTATCCAAATTGGGTCCGATTGGTTTCACTTGTTGCGAGCACCACCAAGTTGTATCTCTTCACTTCCGTGACTATTTGTCTGATTCTCCCGTTCTTCCACATTGTCTGGATATTGTATGTACCTACAATAATTGTTACTGTGGTTGTTAGGAGAGATATCGACGTCGTGACTTCGGACGAATATTGGATTTCAATGTGAGGCGTCATAACCCTATTTCACGACGAGTCTTCAAATTTCATGGTAAAGTTTAAGTGGTTGAAAATATTTATTATGGTTAGCGTTTTTTTGCAAGGTTATGTTCTACGAAATGGGATAGCTAACTACATGCCCAAACCTCTTCATTTATCTAGGCCTGGAATCTGCAGTAACCCTAAAAGAGCTACAGGCGGAGTTTGTGTCATTAATAAGATATAAAATTGGGTGAATGTGTTTTTTTCATAGTTGTATTGTCTTCGTGATTTGTGTTACAAGCATACGATTCAAAAACACTGTTTTAATCTGTCCTAAACTGTAAAGTATACTGAAATAGACTGGAATTAATTATTTTTGTACGTGTTCATCGCTTTGAATTTTTACATCTCACCGTTATTATTCTAATTGCTAATCTTAGATTTTGCTATCATGAACGATTATCGATTGCTGGCAATTGTCGTATGTGTTTAGTTGAAGTGGAAAAGTCGTTGAAACCTGTTGCTAGTTGTGCGATGCCTGTAATGCGTGGTATGAGCATTAAAACTGATTCAGAAGTAACTCGTAAGGCACGTGAAGGTGTTATGGAATTTCTACTAGTCAATCATCCGTTGGATTGTCCTATTTGTGATCAAGGTGGAGAATGTGATCTGCAGGTAATATGCCTTTTCTTATGTACTTTTGTTGTAGTTTAGTTGGTTAATTAAAATTCTAAAAATATGAAGCTACTTATATTTTTTCAAGTAGCAACATTTTTTGCAACAAGATACCAAAGCGCTCTTATGGATTTATTTGACTTTTTTTAACATAGGGACATGTAGTATACTGCTGAGGTGTCCCATACTAGGACGAAACGGCCGTTCAGTGCTCCTAGGTTTTCAATGGTGGTCTAACACTGATCGATTCATGATCTCAATCAAAATAGAAAACATGTTCTACCGACCAGTTATCACATTTTGATCAAAGTTTATTATGCGGTCTGTATTAATAATCCAGTCTCATGAGCACAGTTGCCACTCAATCACATCACGTCATTGAGTCCTATTTATCGATCAGCATCCTATTCACTCATTTTAGCAACCCGAAACTCGTGTATCATCATAAATCTAAACAATCTTCCTTCGTCATAACAATATACGAGTAAATCACCAGTTATTACTTGGGATTTTTTAATTCTAGTGTTAATTAAAGTCCTTCTATTTCGCTCTGTAGTTCCTACTATTAGTTAACATGGTTATGTATTATGTAATACCAAGAACTTCATTAGTTTACAATGCAATAATTTCATTTCCTACTTTCTAGTATTTCTTGGGCACTATAACAACAGCCAACAGTAGATATTCTAATAACCTAAACCACAAAGGTGCAGTAACGTAATAAATAAAGGTTATGAATGATTTATGCAGGAATATTCAAGCTCCTCGCTTCGTCCACTAACGTTGATTGCATTAAGACGGACCAATCAGTGTGTTCCGATTTGAGCCTGATTAAAGTATGGAATAGTCAGAACTTTAACTTGTTAAGATTGTGGCATTTTCCATTTTCTAAAAATAGAATCAACACTTCACCAAATGGTTTAATATACTTTTTTTCATTAATATACTGTTGTTATATATGTCAGTGAAATCTGTTTCGAATTATTTCATATGGTTTGCTTTTCATCTCAAGGATCAATCAATGAATTTTGGATCGGATCGTTCACGTTTTGTTGACATTCGCTTTACTGGCAAACGGTGTGTATACATTCTTGCCTTTTTATGATAGTAATTTTTTTTAATGCATAAACTGTTACTCGACTTAACTTTATTTGAAATCACTACTTGTGCTTAAATTAAAAGTAAACATTTTGAGTATGAAGATAACAATCTTTTTGAAATGTTCAATAAAAGTGCGACATATAATAGTGTAAATTTTACTGAGAACTTTAATTCATTGATCCAAAGCTATCCATGTATTTCTTCTAAGAACATGCTACTGTGGTGCATTCCAATTTGACGGATGAAAAAAAGCAAATAAAGTGATAGTTAAAGTTTGAAATGAAATCCTTCAGTGAAAATTATTCTCTTATATGCAACATTCGCTCACTAACTAAACGGAAAAATGCTAGATATATTACACTTTAATAATCAGATGCATTATAAATTTATAGAAACATATCCTAACACCATTATGAAAAATCATACTGGATCAAAAGTTACTTTTAACGGTCACATACCAACTAGTATCATTGTTAGGAATGTTTCTTTCTGGCTATTGTTTTCAGTACATTTCGCTTTCAAATTTGAATTCTACTTCACTCATTTTAGTTAAGACATCCGTGTTATCTCACCATTATTTATAGAATAAAGTAAAAATCAGAGTTTAATAAATGACCTTGTATCTAATGAACGATCTAGATTAATTTTAGTCTTGGATCAGTTGAAATATTGGCTTTTGTTTAAAATCACCCATCACCTATTTTGACTCACTATGTTGGCTGGTGTAAGAGTTGTTTGTAAGAAAAGTAGGAGCAAGTAAATTAAAACGGGGTATACTATATTGATAAGTTCTGACTACCTGGTTGGGATCTGTACAATTATTATGATGTTGAGTGACACAACTCACGGTAGCTCGGACGCATTCACTCTCTGCCTTACCTTAGTTTTAGAGTTTTAAAACTATTTGATGCCTCTCATCCCGCCAGTTAAATATTGCTTCTCGAATCAGATTCTTTGTATACCTGATCTCCTCTACTAGTACGGATGTTGTCACAACTTCTACCACTTTGGTATTCATCATAATAACTTCATCTTGGTATGTTGATGTAATGTGGCAACTTAGACGGATATACATATGTGGCAAGTTCTTTCCTAAAGACTAAGTGACCGTGGTTTCAAAGGTAATAACTAATTTGTAAATTTAAACAAAGTTGAATTTTGACTTATTGCTCCCCCACCGCATCATACTTGATAGTGATGGCTCATAACTGATAACAGATAGTTTTGATTGGGTCATATTAATCAGAGATAGAATATTGACTTTCTCATGAACGGCGGTGGCTCAGTGTTTAAGTTGTTCGACTTCCAGCTACTGATTTTCAGGTTCGGGTTCCTCTTCGCCCATTTCGATTTGGGTAACTGGGTAGTATCACTGATCCTCACACTTTGATTGTGATCCAAAGCCGAGTACACGAATGTCTACTTAGAGTTATATCGCTCATTTTATCATAAACGGGATATTAAGGATAAGATAAGCTTACAGTTTGATTTGGATTTTCTAATTTAATGTATGCAATTAATATAATTCTGGTAAGGTTTAACGTTTTACTAAGACACGTAAACTGAATTCTCTTATTAGATTCATATAGAGTTAATTTCAGAAACTTTCGTGGATTACTATTTGTCTGATTCTATTTCCAAGCAAGAATTGTTTAGGGGTTGATAATAACCAGTATCAATTAACACTTCATTGAAATGTATCTGATAGAACGGGAGAAAGAAATATTCTAGTCTTCCATATGCTATGATAATACGATATGTGCCGAAGATCATACTACCACTAAACTGAACACTCACTCGATACGTTATACACAGACTGAGATGGTATTATACCGGATATGCGATTCGTAACTAAATATACAGAACCAGAGTGCAGGTTAGACAGTACTTTATTCAACATAATTACAAACAGCCTATACTCAGTTGAAGTCCGGAGAAGTATTCAACAAAAGGGAATCACATACTGAATATTTACCTGAGTTATGTCTGTCCACACTCAATGATTAATCATATGTTACTTCCACTGGTTACACGTTAGTATTTTTTTCATTACAGTTTTATACTTTGCCCGTATGATCAGATCTAATGTAAATCTAACTAATTCATCGTTTGTTTGTTTTTCTCTCTACAGAATTAACATTCGTCAGTAGAATTATTTTAGATTTCTATCCAACCATGTAGACATATATATTTTCCTCTATTTTTTATATTCATTTTATGCAGTGCTGTTGAAGATAAAAATCTTGGTCCATTAATTAAAACCATTATGACTCGTTGTATACACTGTACAAGATGTGTAAGGTAATAAATAGACTTATTTATTGCAATTTATACTGAAGCTTAGTTGAATGGACTTTTATAGAGATTAGTTTAATTTATTGGTTGTATTTATCATAAATTGATTTCAGTTGGAATAATCGTTGAAAGCTATGGAATACTGGATAAATGTTTCATTCTAGTAGGGAAAAAAATGAGTGAAAAAATTGTTCTCGTTATTATATGGAGGCTATTGATAAACTGATATGAATTAGTTGCGTTAAATTGTCAGTTGTTTAATAATATTCTTTTCATTATTACTGAGATTTTAGTGATTGGGCATTGAATAGAATAATTGATAATCTTGTCAGCTTTTTATTGAGATCATAAACCGATCAATGTTAGGTCACTATTGAAAACCTGAAAGTACTAGACAGTCGTTTCTTCCTATTGTTTGACTCCTCAGCGACGCATATCCACGATCTCGCACACGAGACTCGAACCCAGGACCTCCGGTCTCGCGCGAATCCTCAACCTCTGTATAGGCACGCAACGGTGCTAATATCTAACCTTAATCAGTCCAGTGCTCCCAGGTTTCTAGTGTTGGTCTGACATTGATCGGTTCATGATTTCAATAAAAATGTAACAATCTGCACAACCCTATAAAAATAATATTGTTAGGGTTCTTAATTTATATATTGTTTCAATTATAAAACGGTCATAAGAGCGAAATGACTATATATTTCTCTGTGTGGACTTTCCATTTCGATGTCAATTCAACAAGACATTTGATAGAAATACTATAATAAATAAAGCTAATAAAATCTTCGAATTGGTTCCCTTCAAAAATTTAAACGAAGGAAGAACGACAATATTTGCTGGATACTATATATACATTTTATTTTGTTGCTACTTGCAAGTTAGTATGTGTAACTATCCTAATGGGATAATGTTATATTCAATTTATAAGTGAAAAGCGATGTGTAGTGCAAAAGCAGTTATAAAAGAACGTTTTCTTAATGTTTAACTCAATTTCCTTCACTCTACTTATAACTTATTACCAACTGAGTTTAACATTATCTTATTAATTAGAAATAATTAAACATATTAACTTGTGTGTAACTGAAGAGAATGCAACGAAACTTATTAAATTCATCGTATCATGCAAGTAATATTGTCGTTCTTTGTTTGTTGAAAAATCTCCAAAGATATCTATTCACAAACAATATCATCAGAGCAAAATGATTTAGGGCTTGCGGAGTATTTAAACAACTCACTTCCATGTAAAGTAAGCGTTGACTATGCTTTCCAGAATAACAACTAAAGTTTAACTAGTAAGCTTCCACGAGCTTAGAGAATGCAACACAATCAAGAACGGTTTTTTGTTAGAATTATTGCAAATGACGTGTACATTGTATTAGTCATTATCAATGTTCATTTGTGGTTATAATTTGAATAAAATAGATTCGCTAATGAGATAGCTGGTGTACCTGATCTTGGGACTACTGGTCGTGGAAGTTCTCTCCAAATTGGTACCTATATCGATAAACCGTTCTTCAGTGAATTGTCTGGTAATGTTATTGATCTATGTCCCGTTGGTGCTCTTACTTCTAAACCGTATGCATTTACTGCACGACCTTGGGAGACAAGACGTATTGAATCGATCGATGTAATGGATGCATTGGGTGCAAACATTGTAGTCTCTATGCGTACAAATCAAGTTTTAAGAATAATCCCAAGGTTGAACGAAGTTAGTTATGGGTTGTTAAACGTTTTGTTCTGAGTAATAATCTATATTTTAAAAGTCATTACAAATGTCACCTCTCTTTACTGACCACGTTAAGTGGCTACAACTAAACGTGCAACTAATAATCGATAACAATAATTTGAAGTTTAGTGGACCAAAATGTTTCCATGATTAAGTGACTATCCCTATATGTTCCTAATTCTATTCTAATCAAATAGTGATAATACACAACGGAATGTTGACAGTTGGCCAGTTTATATTCTTTTATTCTTAACTGTAATGCTTACATTTTGCTGAGACTGTACGATAATTCAGTGAATAGATAAGTAATTCTATAGTTTCTTATCACTGGATGTTTATTTTACCCTGTATGTATGCTGTCAGTAGGTCTACTAGTTATAGTTATCGAGTTTCCTCTTTTTATGAGAATATACGACAGCTATTTTCTGACGTTTGTTAGTATTTCGATATACACAGTTTCAGATATACCATAGGTTTCTTCATTATTTGGATCACTGATCGCTAACTATTACACTCATGATTCATTCTAGCTTCTGGACAGATTTTAATAACTCAGATAGCATGTGACTTCTAAGTCGTTTTTATCTTCCTAATAACTATTCTTTTCATGAGAAATTTTGACTTTCAGTACATATGCCTCCCTTGTAGTTATACGTGTATACATCTATGTGCATATGTGTGTGTCTGTACACTTAATATTTTACCCATTACCTGCCTCCTTGTCACACTGTTCAATCTGTTCTGAGTTATATTAACACTTCCAATGTGTAATATTTTGAATAGGCTGAGAACCCTTTCTCGATGTTGCACCTCTTACTGTCTGTCTGCGTGAGTGAATGTCTGAAACAAACTCTGCTATATGTAGAACTTCTATATCGCGTACAACTTGAGCACTCGAACTCTCGAACACTCCAAGTCTCAAGTTAGAAGAAAGAAGAGGAGTGGCAAGGAATCATCCCAAACAGTTTCAAATATGGTACAAAACACTTAGGTATTTAAAGTTTTCAGTAAAGATGGAGTTATCATTACAATCATCCAGTCGTCATGCAATAGTTATGAGTATTTGTCCGATCAGAAAGCTACACGTCAAGATTCTGTCGTGTTCTTCAGAAATATGATTCGATGGAATGTCTTCGGCTCTCTCATAGCTCCCTTGAGACCATCGCGGGCCGTCCTCACACTCTTCCAACTCAATTTGCATTTGTCTTTTATTAATCGTTGTTAAGAAATCAGCGAATTCTATAAAATGCAATTTGACGTGATACTATGCAAAATAACAATCTCATTGTAACAATAAATCTTAGATTGCTGAGTCTAATCATCATGACGAACTGACTTCATCAACTAGGGAACCGCTGAAAATAAAAAAACACTGAATAAATATTTCGTCTTTGTTTGAAATTTCTCACCGCTGCTTATCAGTGTCCATTGCTCCAGGGGTTAAAGCAAACAGTAGCTATTTTTGTCTTAATAACTTTTCAGCTTACTCATAAGTAAGTAATTTCTTCTGGTTAAATTTTTTCGACAAATGTCAAAATGAAGCAGCGTACATAATACGTAGTCATAGATTGTGCATTACAGTTGGCTTGTAGTTTCATTATTGACAATTTTCCGATAATAATAGTAATAATACTATCGACAAAAAATCCCCATTATTGTTTAGTTTGACCGTGAACTTTGTCTCTTTTTTCTAAAAATATTCAATATACTATCTTTTTTCTCCTAAACTCCTCTTTAGGATGTGAATGAAGAATGGTTAGCTGATAAGTCTAGATTCTCGTATGATGGCTTAAACAGACAACGGTTGGTTGTTCCATTCTTAAAAAAATCTGACAAATTAAGCGAAAGTACATGGGAAGATGTATTGATTAAAATTGCAGAAAAGTTACTTCCTATACTTGGATCATCTGAAGGAAGTATACCTCGAGCAAATCAGGTGGCTGGGCTTGTCGGTCCATTCGCTGATGCCGAATCAATGATAGCATTGAAAGATCTAATTAATCGATTGAATTCTGAATTAGTTTGTACTGAAGAAAGTTTTCCAACAAATAGGTAATTCTGCAAGCTTTTTTTCGATGGTGTATTTGGTTAAATTGAATTAGGAAATTTAGGTTAGAAAAATAAAAAATAAATTCTAAGATTGTTAGTTTTAGACTACAATTTTTTTCGAAGAACTAGCAAAATTTAGTCGAACTCGAACATTGGGTATATGGTAAAACGGTTAATCGATGAATGGTTATGCAATAATTTGCCGACTAATGGTAAGCGGACATGCGTCACATGTGTAACCTCAGTTATTCTTCACACCGAAATTTAATGGTAATTGGCATAGCAGTAGAGAAAAAAAGAGCTAACGGAGAGGAAGTGAAATAAAAGCATAGAGTTGGTGCTTTGTAGTTAATTAGTGTTAAGTTGAAGTGTGTAGAGAAGTATAGCTCCTATGGTGAATAACCACAAAGTAATCGGCTCTCAATGATTTGAAACCTTGGAAAATATGACGAAAAAATCAGTTACAGTAGCGTAAAATCAATAATTGTTGACTTTTCAATAAATCTTGAGTTTTAATTGTATTTCATTGCCCTTTTTAGAACCATTCTCAGCAATTAGTTTTCACTTCATTCGTCAAAAAAACACTACTACCGTTTTTCCCTCTGGTTCGCTTTACTTTTGTAAAGTGAAAAATTAATCTGATACGTAGTACTGCTAGAGAATAAATTAATAAAAGAATAGCACAGTAGTTAAAACAAAAATAATACCGGGAAGTGTAGCAACCATTTATAAGGAATATAATGTGTAGTTTTAAAAAAACAACCAATAAAAATTAGTGAATCAAAGCTTGAAATCATCTTAAAAATCAGTATCTTATAAAGTTCAATTTGATTACCATATGTGATGTAACATGATGAATCTCATTCGATGATTACGAAAGTAAATTGTATGTCTCCTTGATATTCACTACTTTAGAATTCTATCTCCTAACTGAAATCACGGATTTAGCGTAGGGATTTAGTTGATTAGTAATGTCTTCTAAGTAAAGGCTTACTATAAAATACTTTATTGGGTTCAAACTTATAACACCCTGAAATCAAAAAAAATATTTTCATCCCCACTTCTCATCAATAAAAAGATAATCGGGTAGGAATAATACAATCCAAATGTTTTGCAGCTTTTATTACCTTAACTAAATAAAATTTAACATTTTAAACTCACAGAATAAATGGAATACATGACTAATAGTGGTATTTAGGACGTATATTTCGTTCTATTCAGAATTCACCAGCTGGATGTACCTGCATATCAGGGTTAACATTCATTTCGTGGCTTAAACTCAGTACCTTTCTCTTTGAGCGCCCAAGGCGTTATCCCCTTAACTACTGAGTCCAAATAGTCACCCACTTTTACACATATTATTATTGGCTTTATCCAATACTATATTTGTTGTACAATATAGAATTCTTAGCCCAAAGTATTTCAACAAGTTTCCTTTTCTTATTTCTTGATCGATCCTGACGATAAATATTGAGTGATCGCCAATTAGATGTTAGCAGTTCAGTAATCGACATCTGAATAATGTTCATTCTTTTCAATTGCCAGTCACCACGATATCTCTGATTGTACTTTTTTGTAGCTTGTACAGCGATAAGTGGTTTGACTGAATTTTTCTGGTTAGCGTTCTTTTAGCGAGTTAGTTTTCTACGGGGTGAGGTCGCTAACTCCATGCCCAACCCTCCTCTTTTATCCGGGCTTGGGACCGGTAGTAGCCCCAGAGGGGCTCCAGGCGGAGTTACTTCGAATCTGTTGGTCAGACACTATCAGCTACAACTTACTATGGAAGAGGACAAACCATATCCCAGCGGAGGAAGAAAACAGGAAGAATCGCTGGAAGTGGATAGAACACACATTGAAGAAAGCACCGAACTGCGTCACAAGGCAAACCCTCTCATGGAATTCTTCAAGGCCAAAGAAAAAGAGGGAGACCAAAGAACACATTACGCCGAGAAATGGAGACAGACATGAGAAGAATGAACAAAAATTGGATAGAACTGGAAAGGAAGGCCCAGGACAGAGTGTGTTGGAGAATGCTGGTCGATGGCCTATGCTCCATTAGGAGTAACAGGCGTAAGTAAGTAAGTAACAGCGAAAAGTCGTAAATTTTTCACAAACGCGCCTGAAATAGTTTATGCGGTTAATAAACAGAATAATGTGTTAAAGCGAAAAAACAGACAACCCGTTCAAATACCTAGATATTAGGGACATGTAGCCCAGATATTTAAGCAAGCCTAAGACTAATCATAATCACTCAAAATATCAACAACGGGATATATCAGATCATTTTAAATCAAATTTTTCACCTAACATTTTGTATGAACTATTTATTAATTAATATCATTAATTTTTTTATATTTTCTAGTACGGATCTACGTAGTAATTATTTATTCAACAGTCGTATTACTGGTATAGAAGATGCTGATCTAGTATTATTAATTGGTACTAATCCACGTTTTGAGGCACCTTTGTTGAATGCACGTCTACGCAAATGTTGGATACATAACGATTTGGAAGTCTTTTTATTAGGTCCAAAAGTTGACTTAACTTATGATTATGAAGTATGATTTAATGTTTTGTTTAATGGGATTTCTTTTTCTAAAAATTGTTATTGAATCAAAGTATTGTTGAGTACAATCACTGTCGTTTAAGGATAATGTTCTTTACAAATTCATAATAACTGAACCGTGTTATTTCCCCCATAATTTTTTCAACCTTTTGTAAATTTTCTTTTACACTGGTTGATTATACACATGAGCCTAACCAATATTTCTTAAAACATCTGTGATTCGATCAGATTTCCTGTTTATAGTTGTTAATAGCTTTCCTCATGAGCCGGTATTTACGAATTTATTTAATTATTTAAACAAATAAATATTGGTACAAGGAGGCATCGAATATATATGCGCCATACTTCATTATTTGATTTTTGTGAGGGCTGGAATATTACCCGGGCTCCTAAACCGAAACAGGTGGTTTTCTTAGGGGGCCACACCGAGCCTTTGACCCAGAGATGTAATCCACAAGGCAGCGGAGCAACGTTAGGAGACGCAGTTCCATAATAGCCGGTGACCAACAAATTGGTTCATATACCGTTTGTTCCCTCAGGATCCTAGAGCCCATGCGCACCATTGTCTTCGAATCAGGGTTTTCCAAATCCCCTAGGTGGACCCCTCGTGTCTGATTCTTCTCACCCTCGGCCGTAACAGGGCATTTGGAGGCAATATTTACGATTGGACTTTTTTAAAAAACAGTTGCCTATTAACACACAGTAAATTTGGAAATTTTTTCTTGTAGGAGTATTTATAGTTTATAAAACTTCGTTCAGGATATGTTTTAGCTTTTTCGTAGTTTGACAATTCTGCGATTACATAGTCATACCTCATCGCTTTTATTGTCGAAACAGGAATTCAGTTAGCTTGAGCTATTGTCTTTTGCCAAAGTGATTGTTATTTACTATTTTCTTGACATTCTTTTTCAAATCAGGTTTACCTGTAGAAATTATTTGCTTCTATAATTTGCCACTATAGACTGTTTTAGCATATATTAAGAACCTTTGATAATTTCTAGAGAGTCTTCGGGAGAAGAGCAGTACTAAAAATATTTTGACCAATCAGTGTTTTAATTATCCTGGTCGGACAATCACCAGGTTTCACAAATGATTGATCACTGGGTGGTGATCAATGTCATGTGTGTCAAGTCCTTATTAGTGCAGATCGAATGCTATCGACCATGTTGCATGTAGCCACTAGTCTAGGTGACTCGACACTGCGTGCTTTATATATTGAGATTAGATGGTGGTTGGAGGTAGTCGACAGGAAACCTTGAACCCGGGTTCCGTGCTACTTAGCACTCGTCAGCAAGGTGTACCTGTAATCTTGAGGGAACTGGTTCTCCCTGACGGATTCGATTCTGTGTCACCCAGCTTCACAGTCAAAGGCGTTACCACTGAGTAATCCGGGCCGCGACTCTGACTGTGAAGCTGGGTGACACGGGATCGAATCCGTCAGGGGGGACCAGTTCCCTCAAGATTACAGGTACATCTTGCTGACGAGTGCCAAGTAGCACGAAACCCTGGTCCAGGGTTTCCTGTCAACTACCTCCGACCACCATCTAATCACCAGGTTTGTCAGCAATTTTAGCACAATTTCTAAAAAACTTCTAGATTCTCATGATCACTTGTAATCCTCCAGATATCCTTGTTTTCTGCGCATTAACTAACCTTAAAAGTATGACTTTCTCTATATATTTCCTGCCTCCTGTTTTTTGTTCGTGATTGGAGAACAAAGTGCTTCTAGAAACTATGAAGTCGATTAAGTGTTTACTTACACATATTGAATTCTTTTACAGTAGACAGTGGATTGTTAGTTTAATTTTTTTACTGGTCATATTCATTTCATTCCGTCCTTTTTTGCTTCGTTTCATCTACTATCGAATTGGTATTCTTATAATTACCAATTGAACTCACTGGTATTACGCTTCTATAAGGAATTGTATACTATATTAGATTGTATATACCTAGTGTAGTGAATAGAGTAAGTCACATCAGTCATCAGAACTCGGTCAATATATTACGAGCTCCTATCAGCTAATTAATTGAAAATATTTTAAATTTTAAGTGGAGTACTCTGAAATCATTAATCTATGGTTTTTAGCAAAAGATTGTTTCATGATATTGAATTGATTAAGTTCATGTTTTAATATTGGTGTACTAATTTGCTTGTATTTGGTTTCACTTGAGGGTAACGTTTCTTCTTAGATATAAGAGAACTAAAACATTTCCAACACAAACTGGATCGATAAATGTGGAGTATTTATCTTATAGAATTAAAAAACATTGGTTTTAAATCAGAGATGGGAACTAGCATTAGGTTCTCAAGGAAACTAATAGTCTATGAACGTTGTGGATAACAATTTTAGGTGAAAGCTTGTAAAAAATTAGCCTTCTTCAGTCTCTATGTTCATTTTGTATGGTTTATTTCCTTTATCTATATTGTACTAAATATTTTTTGTGTTTTAATCAAATTTAACATCGAATATTTGATCAATGGTAGAATATAATCTGTCTAATGTTTGCTTCAGTAATCACAATGAAGTTAATCCTCATTCTTAATAATTTTTTGTAACAACTGTTCTAAGTTTATATGAATAGAGGACTTCCTGTTTAAAAGAATTAGCTACAGCAAATCTAATTCCGTTTTTTTTTATCTCTTTATATTTCAGCATCTTGGTGATCAACTTGAAACTTTACAGTCTTTAGCTGTTGGTAAACATCCATTGAATAAGGTAAGTTTCCTTTAAACTTAATATTATTTTAAAATGTTCATCCATCTTATTTTCTAAATTATAGAATAATCACTTCACATAAGTAATAAAGTCATTTACAGGTTGGAACAGTTAATCGTATGATTGTACTAAATATTGTCAATCAGTTATTAGCAACGTGGATTCTGGGATATATGTACATCACTTCAAATTACCATACTATATATTAGCACAGAGAGATTAAACTATCATGAGTAGTATTATAAGCAGTAAGAGTATCAACGGTAGTAGAATCGTTTAGCGCATGGATAATACGACTGGTGAAAAAAGAATGGATTCTTAGAATGAAGACCATGAAATAACTTTAGAAATCGAGATCTAAGAGAAAAGAAAATGTAAATGCTTTCACATCATTGTAACGGATTCATGGACTGATGGCATGTTTTGGTCTGACTACCCTTAGCTTTGTTCCAAATTGCCCCCAAATGCTCTGGTACGGCTGAGAGTGGGAGGAGTCAGCTCTCCCTCTCCAAATACTCTCACATAGTCACGCGCATACAACCACTACCAGGGAAGTCCTACTCACTGCCTAGTCGTGGTGGGGGTGTTGTTTCCGAAATTGAGAGGGCGAAAAGCGAATGTCCGGCGCTTAACCGGGTTAGTTAATATGAAGGATCCACCTAGAGGAGTTTGAAAACCCTGATTCCAAACCAATGGTGTACATGGGCTCCAGTATCCTGAGGGAACAAATGGCGTATCAACCAATTGTTGGTCACTGGCTACCATAGGACTGCATTTCCTTACGATGTTCCATTGCCTTGTGGATTAGACCTTCATGTCGAGGGCCCCAGGTGTGTCCCCCTAAGAAAATCACCTGCTTCGGTTCGGGCATCCGGGTAGTATCCCAGCTCACACACAAATCAAGTTACTTGTGTGGTACATATGTATTTGGTGTCCCTTTGTACCAATATTTATGTGTTCAAATAAATAAATAATAAGAAGCATATCAATATACTCAATCTCAATTCACATCAGGAAAGTCAGTTCGTTCGAACAGTATAATTCCCACCCACATTTCCACATACCGGGGTCTGGAAACTACTAAGAAACATTTAAATAAATGTCTAAAATTTTCCTTTCGATCACACTGTAATAACTGACATCATAAACACTGAACTTTGCCTTATCATGTTTCTTAAATTATTGATTGTTTTGTATTTTGTGAATTGATAAACTCCAAATCCAACCAACCTTAACTTAGAATTCTGGGTGCAGAAGGGAAAGATGAAGACCAAAGAATACATTCCTTCGGCTTTCGGAGGCAGACTTCAAAAGAATGAATAACAGTTGGAAACAACTGGAAAGGAGAGTCCAGGACAGAGTTGGGTGGATGGCCTATGTCCCTGCATGAGGTGTAACAGGAGTAAGTGAAGTGATGTACTAACCAGTTGAGGCCACAATATCAAATACATCAGTACCTCATTGAAATCATTAACTGGTTTAATTTAGAAAACCATTGAAAACCTGGGAGAGCTGAACTGTCGTTACGTCCTAGTAGTTGTCCTTTCATCAGTGTGCATCGAACCCAGGACCTTTTGTCTTGCACGCAAACGCCTAACCTCTAGACTACTGAGCACCTAATTATCTCTCCAGGTATCACTAACATTTGTACGTTTATGATTCTCATACTATTTAATTATTATTCTCTTCACTTTGCAATTTATTTTATTTTTTAACTTACTACTTTACTAATTTTAAAGCGTTTAAATTCTTCGTCCCACCCCATAATAATTTTGGGAAGTGAATGTTTACAACGTAAGGATGCAGCGGCAATTCATAATGCTGTACGTCGAATTTCCGCCAATTTAAAAGAAACGAAAAAATTAGACTATCAAGTGTTCAATGTTCTTCATCGTGTAAGTGTTGTTTTCTTGTGTTTCAATTATCCATAATACATCATGTCTGTCGCTTTCACTTTTTTTATTGATTTAAAAATTTATATTTTTAATGTATTCCTATTTAGGGGTCTTGTGGAAATTGTTGGATTTCACAGTTCATATCATGGACTTATCTTAGATAATGGTTGTGAACTAAGAAGCAATGAATAGCTGTTTCATCCTGGTATGAGACTCTTCAGAAATCAAACCCAGAACTTTCAGATCTAGCACCGACAGCTGTATCTTGAGATTGCTGAGTTAAAATCTAGTGGTTTTTATACATCCTGATAGTGTTGCTTTCCTTAAGCTAGATGGTTTAATCACAGAGTTTTTATTGTCCTTCTGAACAGCATCTTTAGAGCCTAGTTTACATAGAAGTCGACTTTTCAGTTATTCCACTAGTGTTATATCAGTTCGTTTGAATGGTGGTGTTTGTGGTTGACTGCCTTTACAAACTATGTTCTCTTAATTTGTCTTTACACTTTCACTAACTATTTTTGTTGGTTTACCTTTTGGCCTCTTCCTCATAGCTCCATAGATTGAGTCTATGTCGATATGTCTGTAGGTTGCTAATTGATCTGAATGCCGTACTTCAGAAAATTCTCCGACATCCTTAGTGTTCCACTGATTTAGAATTTTGATTTTTCTCTAATTAAATTTATCTCTGTGATTATTTATGTACATTAATATCATTGGTAGTACAATGCCAACCTAAGTTCATGTATCCTTAGGTTAAGGGGCTATCCACTTGACACGTTTGTATGTATTTATTACATTTCAAATGAACTACTGAGTAACATATTTCTCATTTGTACCATTCAATTCTATTTCAGTATGCAAGTCAAGTTGCCGCTCTAGACTTAGGTTACTCGTCAAACGTAGAAATAATCAAACAAAACAAACCAAAAATTCTTTTCCTTCTGGGTGCTGATCGTAATCTTATTACACGTCAATATTTAGCTCCCGATAGTTTTATAGTTTATATTGGTAAGCTAAAATAATCATTGTGATTTAATTTGATTTTTCACAGCATAGATGAATATTTTACATAATAGTGTCTAGACCAAAGCACATCATATGGAATTATCTATTGTAATACTTTGAGTTCTTTCTAATACTATTTTTACTTCCTCGGTGTGGGCAACCGGGAAGTGATAACCGCCCTCATACCTCTAACAGCACTCGAGACCACTGTATTCATAATCAACCTTCCTCTTCAATTCCTATTATTCCTCCTACATCGACTTTCCACTCTAAACTTCCTCTTTCGGCTTCCTCCTCAAGTGTCACCATAGCCAACGATTCTAGTGTTCAAAACCCTGTCCCAGGTCTACTGAAACCTCGCTCCAAACTACACATTGGAGCCTTCAACGTACGCACCCTATGTCAAATCGGTCAGCAGGCTTCCTTGGCTAAAACCCTAGAGTCTCTTTCCATTGATGTATGCTGTGTCTCCGAAACACGCATGCAGGATTCCAGTGTGGTCATTCACTGACTCACCTGGCAACCGGAGAGTCAACGAGGTACACCCTCCGTGTATCTGGTGACCCGATGGCCAGTTCTCGTGGACTGGCAGGAGTAGGCATAGCACTAAGCATGAGGGCGGAACAAGCACTGCTAGAGTGGATCCCCGTCAACAGTCGTCTATGTGCTGTTCGGTTAAACGGCTCCGTAAGAACTCGGAAGGATAGGGATACACGTCGTTGCCTTTTCGTCGTTTCTGCCTACGCTCCCACTGACTGCAGCTCAGATGATGTGAAAGATGAATTTTACAGAAAGCTTTCTGAACTTCTTCAGAAAGCTAAACGCTCAGACATAGTACTCATAGGGGGTGACTTTAATGCTCAGATAGGTAGCTTAAACCAAACAGAAAGGCATTTAGGTGGATATTTTAGCATTCCGGCACAGCGAACAGATAATGGTGACCGTCTGCTGCAACTGTGCTCAGACAATCGCTTATTTTTAGCAAACACAAATTTTAAGCATAAGGAGAGACATCGTCTAACATGGCGATCCCCTACACCAAACCAACGATGGACTCAAATAGACCATATTGCCATCAGCCATCGTTGGAGAGGGTCGGTAGAAGATTGTCGCTCATTCTGGAGTACCTGCTTGGACTCCGACCATGCCCTAATACGGGCACGCATCTGCTTGCGCCTCACTGGACGCAAAAACGCCACAGTAAAAAGACCCATTAGAACCGAACTGAGTAGCGAGGAAACCAAAAGTAGGTTCCAGGAACAACTGAGGTCACGATTAGGTAGTTCTGAAAACGAGGTTGACCCAGTTGTTGCTTGGAAAGGCATACAAACAGCTGTGACATCTATCAGTGATTTAAACCACAGGGTTACAAAGAACCAGTGGATTTCTTCAAAGTCTATCACACTGATGAATTTTCGCAAACTCGTCCCATCAGGTTCCGAACATGAGGAGCGACAACAAATCAGATCTAGGTTAAGAAAAAGTCTAAGAAACGACCGTCAGCAGTGGTGGGCAATGAAAGCAAAAGAGATGGAAAAGGCGGCGACTATAGGAGACACAAGACAGCTTTACAGACTAATAAAAGAAACTGGAATTAATAAGTCAAGTGTAAGTGAGATTATATCGGAAAAAGACGATACTCTCATCTGCTCCCAGTCCAGACGTTTAGAACGATGGGCGGAACATTTCAGAGAACAGTTCAACTGGCCTTCAGCTACTCTACAACTACCCTCCATTCCCAGAAAGTGTGAATGGAACATTGAAGTAGGTCCCCCAACTCTTGCAGAAGTTCAAAAGGCTATAGTTAATCTGAAACGAGGAAGGGCAGCTGGTCCAGATGGATTGGCTCCAGAGGTCTTTAAGGATGGTGGTCCAATTTTAGCGATTAGGTTGACTAATATTTTAGCTAAGATCTGGGAGTTAGACGTTATTCCATCTGACTGGTCACAATCACTTATCGTCCCAATATATAAGAGAGGGTTAAAATCATCCTGTGACAACCATAGAGGGATTAGTTTAACTAATATAGTATCTACAATACTAGCCTCGATAATTATCACACGCCTAACTAAGACTCGTGAACTGCAAACACGAGAGAATCAAGCTGGCTTCAGACCTCGTCGTGGCCGCATCGACCACATATTCACCATTCGTCAGGTTCTAGAACATAGGCATACTTATCAACGTCCGACAATGGTCTTTCTTGACTTCTAAGCAGCATTCGACTCGGTAGACCGCGAGATTTTGTGGCAGTGTCTGTCATTGAAAGCGTACCAGAAGTATATAAACCTTGTAAAGGCTCTTTACTTGAACACTAAAAGTCGAGTCAGAGCTTATGACGAACTGTCATCTGCTTTTGCAACCTCAAGTGGTGACCGTCAAGGCTGTCCACTTTCTCCATTTTTGTTTAACTTCATCATAGACCTATTGATGGAAATAACATTCTCATCTACTGAATTCTCGGGTATTGATCTCCTTCCAGGAGGTCCACTTATCGACTTAAGATACGCAGATGACATAGTTCTATTTGGTGAAGACGCTGATAAAATGCAGAGTCTTCTGGTAGCACTGAGCAACAATGCCAGAATGTTTGGAATGCGCTTCTCTCCCTCTAAATGCAAGTTGTTGCTTCAGGACTGGTCTGCGTCAACACCTGAACTAAGGATAGGGAGTGAAGTAGTCGAACGCGTTGACAACTTCACTTATCTTGGAAGTCTGGTCAGCCCTAATGGGTTGGTGTCCGACAAAATCTCAGCACGGATTCGAAAAGCTCGCCTGGCTTATGCCAACTTACGTCACCTATGGCGAAGGCGAGATATCCGTCTATCAATAAAAGAACGAGTATACTGAGCGGCAGTCCGTTCTTTCTACTTTACGGCAGCGAAACATGGCCATTAAGAGTAGAAGACACTCGTAAGCTATTAGTATTTGACCACAGATGCCTTAGAAATATTGCTGGCATCTGCTGGGATCACCGGGTAAGTAATAGTGAGGTTAGACGCAGGGTATTAGGGAATGATGGTAAATCAGTTGATGAGGTTATGAATCTTCATCGACTGAGATGGTTGGGCCACGTGTTATGTATGCCTGAACACCGATTACCACGACGTGCAATGCTATCCGGTATTGGAGATGGTTGGAAGAAAGTTAGGGGCGGCCAAACCAAAACGTGGCATCAGTGCTTGAAGTCACTAACTTGTAGTCTGAGCCATGTTGGTAGATGCAGACTACTTGGTTGGGGTCCGCGTGACTTTCGTAACCAATGGTTGGAGACTCTTGGTGACATGGCTCAGAATCGATCACAATGGCGTCGGTGTATACACTCTTTGTCTTCCTTTAAACTAAGAGATTAAAATAGCTTCATATCTTTCTTTCTACGAACCAATTTTTTTCTTCTTGTACTATATCTCTATATGCAACCTTTCTCTTATATATTACCACCTTTGACCTATTCACTGCGGCCTGCTTGATCATCTGGGCCACCTGTTCCTGTCATCCAGATATTTCAACAAGTTATCTATCCTTGTTTGTTTTAATATATCACTATGTATATTATTCGCATAACCTATTCTGCTGAGTTTCTGAAAAGTGTACAACCTTTCGTTGTCAAAGTTACAACAACTCAATAAGAGACAATATGGTTGCTGGCAATATACAACCAAAAGAATGCATATTATTCAGATGTTCATTTAGTGAACTGCTAACATCTAACTGGCGATCACTCAATATTTATCGCCAGGACCGACGAAGAAGAAAGAAACGGAAACTTGTTGAAATACTTTACGCTGAGAATTCTATATTGTACCAAAAATATAATATTGAATAAAGCCGATAATAATAATAATGAATCCGGTGTTCATCTTGTTGTGCTGATGCGGTATGGCAACCTGGACCGATGCATATATGTGCCTGGTCCTACGTTGTAGCTGACTGACTGACTAATACTATTTTTATCCGGGCTGTGATCTACAAGATAATCGTATCGTTGGTTGAAAACTATTGGTGGTGATACGGCTCGTGATCGGTCTCAATAACGTTTACACATATCATTTTTCTTCTACCAGCTTTAAATCATGAGTTTTTTTTAAAAAAAATACTATTTTATACGTTACGCCTGAATGTTATTACTCATGGTTAGTTTCACTAGGATATTGGTTATATTAGCTGTATGTTCGGTGCTTGAGATATTTAGCATCTCTCCTACAATTAAGTTTGTTTACGGTCGATTTTGTCAATCCTTTCAATTTACTTATTTAACAGACTGTTATTCTAACAGTAAAAATTTGTGTTTTTGTATTATCACGGTGGTTGATATACGAAGCTTAAGGAATTATCTCGAAGCCAAGCCAATACAGGTAATCAAGAACGAAACCTTGAATCTAGATTTTGTGTCACTTGGCTCTCGACTGTAGAGACATCTTAAAATCTTTCGTGCCTCTAGGTAACCCTTGTGCTATTGATAGAAGAAACCCGACAAGTAGTGAATAGGTCTTTATTTCGATCTTCGCGCAGTCACAGTAGAGCGTGGGGTTATTTATTTAGGCAAACAAAGACTCTCAACATTCAATATAAGATAATAGGAAATATAACGCTTATACAAAATAAGGAAGTGAATAAATGCTTGAACTATACTGCTTTGGCATATGCTTGGTTGTTTGAGGTCAACTCTTAACCAACTAATCTAAGCTGTTACAAACCTTTAGGAAACTAACTAATCTTGCGTAACTCAAACCTATATCACCTAATTCAAGAAATGTTTTCCCATGGTAAACAATACTTCATTTATTGCCGAACAAATGACTTCTACTATATTATTCTCTTTCTCCATATCCATTGTAGGTCATCATGGTGATGCAGGTGCATTATTAGCTGATGTCGTTTTACCTGGAGCTGCTTATACTGAAAAAGATGCTATTTATGCTAATACCGAGGGACGTGCTCAACAAACTCGATTAGCTGTAGTTCCACCTGGTTTGGGTCGAGAAGATTGGAAAATATTTCGTGCTATCTCTGAAGTAGTCGGTATCACCTTGCCCTATAATGATTTAAATCAAATTCGTTCGCGAATCGGTCAAGTTGCTCCTGGTTTATTAGATTTAAATACAATTCAACCATCACTCAAAGAAGTTCAAACATTGGCTGATAATTTATCCAAAGTAATTTATAGATTAATGTTTAAATCCCTTTATAAAATTTAGGATGTATTTATTTATTTTATTTATTTATTTATTATTTATTTGAACACATAAATATTGGTACAAGAGGGCACCAAATATGTATGCGCCACACATTTTCATTATCATTAGATTTGTGTGTGGGCTGTGATACTCCCCGGGTGCCCAGACCGAAGCAGGTGGGTTTCTTAGGGGGCCACACCCCGAGCCTTCGACCTGAAGGTCTGATCCACAAGGCGACGGAGCATCGTAAGGAGATGCAGTCTCATGGAAGCTGGTGACCAACAATTGGTTGATACGCCATTTGTTCCCTCAGGATACTGGAGCCCATGTGTACCATTGGTTTGGAATCCGACTAAAGCGCCGGACATTCGCTTTTCGTCTTCTCATTTTTGTAAACAACACCCCCACCACGAGAAGACATTGAGTAAGACTTCCCTGGCAGAGGCTGTATACTCATGGTCATGTGAGAGCATTTCAAGAGGGAGGGTGGGCACACACCACTCTCGGCCATACCAGGGCATTTGGGGGCTTGGATTTATTAAGTATTGTAATGTATGAGTTTAATAATCATACGCAATCTCCATATACACGAGTCCACCCGCGTACCTGAGTGAAAGACTAAGTGTGAGAAGGAAGCTTTTACTGGCCCACCGTTTCAGGGATGTATCTATACTCATAGCACGAAATTCATTCATCCATATAAGTAAATAGGATTTTGGCATTATAGCTTATCTCAGTTCGTAATAAAAATGTTTACTTTAATTCCTAACTATAAATTCTAACTCTGAACCACAATTTATCATACTAATTTCTAACCCTCTTCTGACTTTAGTAAGTAGATGAGTTATCTGAACGTCACTTTAGCGTCATTCAAATGTCGTTCATAAATTATGGTCTCACAGATAATTATTTTTTCATGAATGATTTATTATGTCTACTGATGTATGTACACAAAATGACATACTATAAACCATATGAACATAAAGAATTATACTTAATCTTATTTTGTCATTCATTCACCTACGCCTGTTACCCCTCGTAGAGGAGCATAGGCCGTCCACCAGCATTCTCCATCGTTCATGTATTGTAAAGTAAATATTACTCTTTAATAAAAGATTGGATTATTAGATTTTCTCATGGTATGAGATTGTCACTTTATTTCTTAATAGTAATGTCGTAACAATTTAGATGTTAATATTGATTTCATGAGTTCTAACCCCTGATGTAAACAAGACTTTTCGAGTCATTCAGTTAAATCCTGGATAGGTAATGCTACGAAATTTTCAATCTGTTAATCTTCTCTAGCTATCACATTTTATTTACACTAATATACATATGTATCAAATAGGCAATTCTAGAGTTCTTTTTAGCAATCTGATTTTCTTTCAATTAACTTCAATGACCCTTAACTTTGATTCCAATTCCCTAATAATACAATTTTGTTCTTTGTTTAAAACTTCGAGTACTCTAAAAGACAAATCTTCCTTGTAAGATTTAGTTGGTAGAATCCGAATAATATTAATTAGATTGTGTAACACATGTATACAATAATATATAATGATTTTAAAGTGAAGAAAAAAGTGGTAAACTAGAATAACTGTGGCCTGATTCAAAAAATAGTATCTTCAATGGAGATAAAAATGAAAGGTGTCCGAAGTGGAGACATTCGGCATTATAAATTATCAATACAAATTAACAAAATGATCAGTAAGTAATTGGTTTCCTGGATATTCAACATGATTAGAAGAACCTTGTGAGTGGGTAATATGAAATCCTTAATACATTGCATTAGTGTTATATATCTAGCATAAACGTAAAATTCTAGAGCAAATTACATGGATGACGGGATGAATTAGAATGACAAAGATTATCAATAATAACCAAATAAATGCATATGTACATATATGTACGTGGACAATTGTGAAATTATTTGGAGGTAGAATTCAAAAACATAGGGGATGAGTGTCGCTGTAATTAGATAAAGTACGGAAAGAGATAAGATTATGTGTGTGATAATTAAAATAACAGTAATAACAAAATATGTAGTGATTGCGGGCGAAATTAGTCAAGACTGTGAATTTACCAAGGTAGTAATAAGTTGACCACTAAAACTAATAAAGATTGATCCAGCAAGGAGTCCTTCATTCGCCGAACCAATCTTTCCTAATATATGTCTTGGTGGATAAATTACATTTACTTAAATTGATTGCTGTCTTTTTCTCGACACACAAATCAGGTTTGAGTTTGTTCATAAATACTGCTTCGGCGAACCTGAGAGACTCTGGGTATTTTCGTCTGCCGATAATTTTGAGGGGTTGAGAAATATCATTGGTGCACCCGATATTGATTGCATGTCGAACTATCACATTATTTTGAGTCGTTGCGCCTCTCTCATATTATTTGGATCGTGTTCAAAAACGCGATCATGTACTCTTCTCTCTGTTCTTCCAATATATGTGCTTCGACATGTACATGTAAATTGGAGGTAGTGAGAATACTGAACCTGTCAATGTTTTTTAACACGGGTTACGTAATACTTAATTACTTACTTACGCCTGTTACTCCTAATGGAGCATAGGCCGCCGACCAGTATTCTCCAACCCACTCTGTACTGGACCTTCCTTTCTAGTTCGATCCAAGTGTTGTTCATTTTTCTCATGTCTATTTCCATTTCCCGGCGTAATGTGTTCTTTGGTCTTCCTCTTTTCCTTTGGCCTTGAGGATTCCATGTGAGGGCTTAGCTTGTGACACAGTTGTGTGCTTTCCTCAATGTGTGTCCTATACACTTCCATCGCTTCTTCCTGATTTCTTCCTCCACTGGGATCTGGTTTGTTCTCTCCCACAGTAGGTTGTTGCTAATAGTGTCCGGCCAACGGATCCTAAGTATTTTGCGTAGACAACTGTTAATAAACACTTGTATCTTCTGGATGATGGCTTTCGTAGTTCTCCAGGTTTCCACCCCATACAGTAGAACTATTTTGACCTTTGTCTTGAAAATGGGTTACGTAATAGTTGGAAAAAATTTGAAGAGTTGACTTAAGTTTAGAGAACTATGTGAATGAAAAAGTAAACCAATTAAAAAAGGATAACTGTATATGTGAGTTAGATTTATTATTCTGTTAACCAGTCAATAATAGACTTCAATATTTTTTGAATAATCCTTCTATTTTACCTATTTTCTTCATTACATTTTACATATTAAACAGAGTTCAATTCAAACGATGAATACAAATGAACCAATTAAACTTAGTTTATTAACACTAAAAGATTATTATATTACAGATTGTATTAGTCGAGCTTCTCAAACTATGGCAAAATGTGTGAAAGTTGTACAAGAGAATGAATAAATAGCAAAAATTAATAATATACTGAAGAACAATTAAACGTTAGTTCAATTGTGTTTCCTTTGTTTGTTTTCTTCCCTAAATTCTTCTATTTCATGTTTTATTCTCTTCTTTTTTACACTTTAAACAAAAAAATTATCTGTATTTTCACAATTTTCTCAATGTGTAGAAGTTTTCAAAAAAAAAAAATAGTTATTCTGAATTTCATATAAACACGTTTTTTTTGAAAAATGCAATGATTTAATCTTGACTAGTAAAATCTCTTTTTGATGATATTATGATTAATGAGTATAACTGTTTTCTAAATATGCAAAGATGGATAGTGGTTGGCAGTGGAATCCAAGACGTGCGTTTTGTCCTATTTGGGACTCGTCAGCTGGATGTACCTGTATCTCAGAGTTGATGTTCACTCTGAGTTGATTATGAATACAGTGGTCTTGAGTGCTATTAGAGGTATGAGGGCGGTTATCACTTCCCGGTTGCCCACACTGTGGAAGGGTTCTTCTGAAGGTGCCTGAAAAGGAAATTGGATTAGAGGTGGTCTCAGTGACCTGAGAGCGTGACCACAGAGCTCAAGGGACAACTGCTTGAGGTCGGTCACACATGACCTTTTCATGGGTAATTTTTGTGTTAGCTCCGTACTTGTTGAGACCTTACCGCCGGAGACGGATATCCGTGGGATAAGGCGAGGTGTGCATTTTTAGGGTCGACCTTTTCTAACCCCACACTTTTTTGTGGGAAGGCAGCATCGCTGTCATGCTTGTTGTCTGAAGGAAACACCTTACTGCTGTCACACCTCTGTACAGTCAGCAGTACGACTTCGCCTTCGGACCTTGGGTTTGTTGCTTTTAGTCTTACCGCTCTTTAACTGACCTGTCTGACATGGTAGGATCTTGAGGAATGGTTGTTCCAGCCAGTATAGTTCGGTTGCTTCATCACGATAGGCAAGCCCGACCACAACGTCAAGGTAGCAACAACGGCCGGGGTTCACTCTGGGACTCGGATGCTGTACCATTTGCTCCAAACACGATTGTGTTATCCACTTAGCTACTGAGTCCTGATAGCCACCTGCTTGTGCAATGAGGTGAAGTTTAAATTCACTTGGTATTGTTTGCTTGAATACATTTATTCACGCCTAACTATGACAATCACTTTGTTCCATCGACTAACGTCGATTCCATAAACTAGTGTTTTAGTGCTTCAACTTAGTTGACTTTTTGAAATCTACTTACCTTATATGAATTCACAATATTCCCCTATTTTACATCATTTGGACTATATAATACCATCTATACAGTGTACTGAAAGAATAATTACGACTAACAAAACATTTTATATACTTCTAATGTGCAACTCAGATTTAATAATGATTTCTATAGATAAAGCTATTGAGTTGCAAATGGTTCCCCACTAGTCCCTCTCTTACCTGATTGTTGCATGATCAATCTGGAATATATTGTACTTCGATCAATAATTGAAAGATTTCATTCATATCAGAGATATATGGATGATACTTTCATTATTGGTGAAGAAGATATGAACCTCAATGAAATTTCGGATCAATTAAAAAATGTCATCATTCGATTCAATTCACATTAGAAGCAGCGGTGAACGATAAACATCATTTTCTTGATATGCGGTTAGAAAAAAATTCAGATGGTTCTTTACAGAGATAAATATATAGAAAATCGACTTGAACAGTTAGAGTATAAAGTGTCTTTCGAAGAATCGACGTTCATCGGGGTATGTTACATAATGCCAGCTGATCTAAATTTAATAGGTTTAGATTGTTTCGACCAGCTGCAGCTAGGTGACGTCCCGCTAAGCACCGTATATCATTTGGAATAAGACAATCCCTTGAAATTGAAAGCAAATCGCCTCCACTGCCAACATTGGTTGCCGCATAACACTGGATATCATTTATTGTAATCCCCTTCATGTTTGCTTTGAAGGATGCTTTGATGATTCTGAATGCATGATATTCCCATCCTATAAGTGCTCTTCGTGCTTCTTTAGACAGCATCAGAGCAACTCCCTAGGTGTGCGGGGCGTTTTCTTCTTCATGACCAGAGTACATCAGCAACTCTCTCGAATCCAGCCTTTTCTATCCATATTGGGTCCGATTGGTTTCACTTGTTGCGAGCACCACCAAGTTGTATCTCTTCACTTCCGTGACTATTTGTCTGATTCTCCCGTTCTTCCACAGTCTGGATATTGTATGTACCTACAATAATTGTTACTGTGGTTTTTAGGAGAGATATCGGCGTCGTGACTTCGGACGAATATTGGCTTTTAGTGTAAGGCATTATAATTCTACTTCACAAAGAATCTTCAAGTCGGAGGACAGAGTATAAATGGTTTAAGTTGTTCTTACTGGTTAGCGTATTTTAGCAAGTTTATTTTCTACGGGATGAATTTGCTGACTTCACTCCTAGCCCTCATCCTTTACCAGGGCTTGGGACCAGCAGTAACTCTAGAGGAGCTATAGGCGGAGTTTTGAACACACCCTAACCCTTGTACCGGAAAGAGCCTAAATAAATGTTCATCTAAGCACCAGGTTCAAAAATTAGGAAGAGTATACTGATATCCCTAGATAACTCAACGGTATAGTTATAAGAAGTCAGGTCATTGCTAAAAATAATCCGACCAATCCGTGTTCGCCACAAACTTTCCACGGAATAGGAAAAGTTAGTGTCTAGGTATTTAACAAACATTACAAGGGAATATTAACAGATATTCTACCGGAAATGAGTTGAGAGTTTTTAACCATAATAATATGAGAGCGTGTGCAGTGCAGCTTTTTCACAGCACCACATTTAAGCATCTGAGTTGTAAGCATGTCTGTAACGAACGCGTTATTGATTTGTACCCGATTCGCAATTAATAGTTGGACTGTGTATATGGTTTTCAAATTAGTTAATGCGATGCGTAACAAAGCAAATCTGATTGGATTTTTCTGCCACAGGATCAAACTATTATGTTAGATTACTTCGTCAAAAAAATATCTATCAAAATGGAAGAATAGGACAAACTCGAACACAGTCAGCAAGAAAGCCCTCTAACTAAAACTCAATTTTAACATGTTGGATTTTATTAAAAAGACATTTCACGTCGCCAAGTTACCAGTGGCCTCAACTAAACCAATACCTGTAGAACGTAGCAAGGACAAGATACCGAAGATTCCATTCTCTTTGTGCATCTATCAATTTAACTGTACTAGTAAAGTCAGTTACGTAGGCTATACTTGGAGTGATCTATGTTTGCGTACCCGTAAACGTGTACCGGAATGGTTGGGAAAAGGTGTCATGAAATCTAGTAACAGTCCCACTATTCCTCACTTAGTAGATGGTGAACATCATATTGAAAGAGGTAAAGCTTTCTCTGTTTAGTATTAAGTCCCAGAACCATTTGCCTGAAGGTGTAAGATTACGACTCTTCTACGTAGATGAAACCAGGTGGGTCGACTCTAGAAAACCCAACGGATGTATGTAAAAGAAGTATGTTCAGTCCCAGTGTTTACATTGGTCCACTATAGGATCATCATATACATAAAGTGGATATTATAAACCACTTACACCTTCCCCTTTCTTTATCTACGCATTCATCTTTTTCAATTCACATGAATTTCTTATCATAATTACCGAGACAACACCTTACTTATTACACATAACTTTATTGTTTATATAACTACAATCTCCATTATTTCCGACGACATTCTCCTACAATGTACTCCATTGAAGAAATTTATTTTAACAATATTATATTGATCACGACTTGACACCTTATAACAGGTCATTCTAACCTTTTGTAAATCACCTAATTTACAAACAACACAGTTTTGAAGTATTTAGGCCGTATTAGACGCAAAAGTTCACCATATTCAACATATAACACAGTTCTATTCACTAGCATGCCTAATCTTAGCTTTTGTAAAAAGAATACAATAATTATGAACCTTTAACTGTGGTGTCTGATGACGAAATTGTTGAAAACAACTGTTCGTCAAAATATTCCCTGTTTTTGTGAAGCATTTATCATTAACAAAATAATAACTTTATCAAGCACAACAATGAATAGTTGTTTTTAACCACCATCGCTATTGCTTGTGTAAATGTATAATTGATTGTCTAAATTCACGTAGATAGTGGACTGAAATCATATCACATTGATAGATAATTTGATAAAAACATGCGTTCATACCCTAGAATTCGTAACCAGTTTTCAAAATGCATAAAAGTTACCTACAAATTACTCTATGGGAGATTTTCAGACTCTCATTAATCCAATACAAGAACAAACTAGCTTAAAACAAGTGATGTGGTGTAGCCTAACTGAAGGAATAGGAAGTACAAATATCATGAACTTTGATGTATGAATCTAGGAAAATATTTCGAAATCATTATTTAAAATATGTATTTGACTAACAAAGCCAACGGAAAATAAATGACACTATGTTAACGTAGCAACACGTGATATAATTCCAGAGGAATAACTAGGCTAATGGCCATGGATGCTCTGTACTGAGAGTCCCGTAGTAAGACAAAAATGTGGTAGAGTGCTTCTAGGTGACCTAGCTAAGATCGCTTCGTGATTTCAACAGTGAGAATAATTGGTTAACGATTATTCCGGCACAGTAAATATATATCACTCGACATCCATCAAACGTGAAATCATTCGTTCGAAATTGGATGAGGTTCTTTGCAAAATACATTACAATTGTGTTAAAATTGTTACTACTTAGTAACGTATATATAAAAGATGTATATGAATACAGAACTCTGACAGGGCTGCAGAATATGACGATTGTATGCAGTGTTTACCCAATGGCAAGATAACATCCAGCCTGAAGACATATTATGTGTCTACGGGAGTATGGAGAGCAGAGTATGTAAGAGAAAAGATGGCCGAACAACCTAGCAGATACATAGAATTCACTCACATTTAACAATGCAACAAATCAATATGTATTAGCAATAACACTAGCGTAAGGTTCAGGTAATCTGAAAATCGTAAATAGAAGTTGATCATGTGAGATTTGGAAGTCACTGCACATACATTACTGTGTGATATTTCTTTTTTGATTATGATATCCTGATTGGGTTTTTTTATTTACCAGTGGCAGTTTTAATTCACCAAATACGTCAGAGGTTTCGTCTATTGAAATCTGCTCAGTTAATATTAAACTATTTACTGAATGAGAAGATCATCAATCCTATCACTACTGGTAGAGTTTTGTTATCTGAGCTGGATGGTTAGGTCGTGGAGCTTTCGTCGTTCGTCTGAACAACATC